GCAGGAATGGTACAAACCCGATGTGTTTATGTACAAGGATCTCATTGTGGCCCTAGCCAGGAGCAAGAAAATGGACAAGGCGATGAAGTTGTGGGAGAAAATGAAGAACGAAAATCTCTTTCCGGATTCTCAGACTTACACTGAAGTCATAAGGGGATTCCTGAGAGACGGGTCACCTTCCGATGCCATGAATGTGTATGAAGACATGTTGAAATCTCCGGATCCACCTGAGGAGCTGCCATTTAGGGTTTTATTGAAGGGACTTCTGCCTCACCCGCTTCTGAGGAACAAAGTCAAGAAGGATTTCGAGGAGCTCTTTCCCGAAAAACACGCATATGATCCTCCTGAAGAGATTTTCGGCAGATGCTGAGGTTACCACAACTTTTCTTGTATCATCATGCATCTTTCAATTATTATCAGAATCGATTCTTTCCGGTAGTAGTGGGGTTTCTGGTCCTAGAGAATCGTCTAAATTGGAGATTTCCGGGCTATTGTTTCGCCCATAATATTCACATGGAGATCGATGCTTGCCCGTTGAGAATGCAAATATTCGTAGTCCGGTTCACATGCATAGGTTATACGCCGATTCTCGAATATGTGTATTGTTCATTCGGTCAGCGGTTTTTCGTTATGCAGACCGGACTCAAGACTGGCTGAGCCCGAGGAAGCGAGTTTCTTGATGAGGGCATTCGAGTGGATTGGACGGCCTTCAAGACGAAAACATCAGAGGCAGGAAGATCGAGGGAGAACAAAGCAATGGTAATTGACTTATGGCTTCTTCCACTCATCCTGATGCCTTACCCACTCTTTTTCTTTTTTTTTTTGAAAAAACATATTCGGGGGAGAATTTCAAACATATAGAATGTTCGGTAGCGTTGAACCCTAAAAGAAGAAGTTGGAATCTCCACAGTTTTCCGACCCCTCAGTTTCACAAAGGGCTCTTCATAAAAATCCGGATACATAACTCAACGATTTAGATATCTGATTTTCTGGTTTATTTGGTATTATATTGTTTTAAACGATTTATATTTTAAATTGTGAATTGATATAAAGTTGGTTTTTACGTGTGTGGAATATAATGCGGTCCATATATATATATAGGATATCATGGCGGACCTATTGTTAATAAAGTAAAAGATATGTACACAACTTGGGCATATCTGCTTCGACGGACAAGAATAATAATCTTTTTATTCGATCAAAGAAAGATATTTATTATTTGCCCTTCTTTGTTATGAATAATGATATGATGGAACTCTTCACGGGCAAATCTTGAATCTCCGCACCATATCTAAGGTTATCTTTCCTGTAATCAAATTGCTTGCCAAAAAGAATGCGACCGAATTCTGAGGAAGATCATAAAACTTGGTCAAAAAGCATGTGACAAAATTCATATTCTCACCAATATATGTATATACATATTAAAATTGACAAACCCAAATCTTTTAACGAATCTATTAAAATGTTATTTTCTAGATTAATTTTTATTTTTATTTTTATTATTCTAAGATTATTTTCCTACTAAAAGTCCAATTCAATTAATATATATTAAACTTCTAAATTAGTTTGGGCGGGGGATACAAATCAACGTTATAAATATTATTTATATGACAAAACAAAAATAACTTTTTTGGTGGGGGTATATTTACTTTATAAAAGAAAAGTGATCAGATTAACATTCCAGAAAAGGAAAGTAGGAGAGAGAAACATCCCAAGGGAATGAATGAACATGCGAAGCTCTCTGTCTTTGGCCCTATGAGATCAAGAAAGGTCGGCCGATTGACACGTGGAAATTACCCATTGGTCCGACATGGAGTCCGGCGCCGGACTTATCCGTTAGGTTTGAGAGAGAGAGAGAGAGGTGAGGTCATGTCAGAGAGAGGAGAAGATATTAAGAACAGTGACCACTGAAGTTTCCATGAATGTCACTGTGTAAGAGCGAGAGAATAGCCATCGATTCCTTTGGAATCTCTACCAATAAAAAGCATAGCAAGAGAGAGAAATGTTACAATATTAATCTGATGAGCATCAAGAAGATAGACCCACATGGATGATGATGATGATGATGGATGGATCTTATTATCGCCATCGCTCATCCCCTGTAGCATTATGTATATATACCCGCTGATTTCTTCGTGACTAAACACACCTCATCCAACTACCTATCTTCTTCTTCCTCATACTATCCTTGTCTGATCTTTTTTTGCATCATTTACACCGAAAAATCTCTCTCTGTTTCTTCACCACACAAAAAAAAATGGAAGGCAAAGGACGTGTCGGGTCTTCTTCGTTCACTGCCGAACTCTTCGGCACCAAAGAGCCTCAGCCTCCGTCTTCTTCTGGAATCTTCGCTTCCATTTTCCCTCCTCCCTCCAAGGTTTCATTCTTTTGCCCGTTTCTTCTTCTTGACGTTTGTTGGTCCGATCAAGTCTTGAACTCATTCTTCTTCATCTCTGCTTTTTTCAGACCGGAGCAAGAAACAGTCCAAGCTCCAACCATGGCTTTTCAGGTCTGTGAACCCTCTTATATCTCGTGTCACTTAACACAGCTTGCTGCTCTTGCATCAACAACTGCCCAAGCTTCTTCCTTTCGGTTTGATTTTCACCGGTTTCTGGAGAATTTACTCTACCCTTGATCTTGAGTCAAGAACTGTTCTCAAATACTTAAGGATCAACTGCTCATTCACCAGCGTTTATCATTGCAGATTTCGAAAACTTAAACGCCAAAAAGTCGCTTCCTTTAAGATTCATTTCAGTAAACGCCCCCATTTTTCATCTTCCTTAACGTTCTGTGATAAGAAATCTCTGGTGGGTTTTTACGTTTCTTCAGGCCGGCGTACGGAATCGGTAAACATGGAGAGGAGGGAGAACAACCCACTGTTTCAGGAAGATAGAGTTCAACCATGTCATCTAAGCTCATCACTTTACTACGGTGGCCAAGACGTTTATTCCCATTCCACGAGTAACCAAACATACCATCCGGTCAGTATCTGTGAATTGATCCTCTCATGTTGTTCCAAGAAAGACGACAACTTTACGCCGGAATATGTAATAAAGATACGAATGAAACGAATTTTCAGATGAAGAAGGATCATAAAGGAGATGGGAATTCACAGGACGCATCCAGGGGCAACTGGTGGCAAGGTATCTGTCTGCTATATATGTAGACATAGAAGAAGCATGTCGTTTTTGTAGCCTTTGTTAATCTCTCCTCTCCTCTGGTTTATGATTCCGCAATTTGCAGGTTCCCTTTATTACTAGAGCCTCATATATCCAGGAGGACATCTCGATCTCGGCCTCGGCCTCGTCTAATTGTCTTGTAGTCTGATCAAAAGCTTGTTACATTTTCTAGCAGTACTGATGTAAAGTTGGATTTCACAAGTGATCTTGACTTTCCTTTTGTGTTAAAAGAATGGAATATGAAATGGATAATGTAAAAATATGATCTATTTGTTGTTTATTTCTCGAAAGCAGAATCCGAAGACAACAAAACCGAATTCTACAATTACAGCCAGAAGAAAGAAACATCGAACCCTATACACAAGAACCAGACCAGTTTTAGCTCCAATGGACATTTTCTGTCTTAAGCCGAGGCTTGAATGGTACAATATCTCTTATCAGACATGCAAAGAAACAATCTTTCATACGCATCTGTCATCTTTCTCGCCGTGAATAGCTTCAATGCACGTTCACGTGCCGCCATCCCTTTCCTGTCCATAACCTCCCTACCATCGCTCCAAACCCGAGAAATCGCCTCCGCCAGAGATTCGACGTTCGGCGAAAACGTGTAGCCAAACTCCGGTCCGACAACCACTGACCCTGTAATGCTCGCCAGTCTCGTCGCTAGGACCGGTTTTCCTGAAATCATGGCTTCTAACAGAGTGTGGTCGAGCCCTTGAGCTCTTAATGTCGGATTCACGAACACGTCGATCGCGTTGTAGAACGCTGCGAGCCGTTCTTGATCCAGTGGGCCAAGAACGATCACGTTCGGCCCAAGATCTCTGTATCTGTTTCCCCACGGACCGTCTCCGGCCACCAAAACGACGACGTTTTCACGAACTGAGTCGTTCTCTTCGAACACTCGTTTCAGCGCGGCGAACATAAGTGGGTGTCCTTTGTCTCTCACCAACCTTCCGGCCATTCCAAGGACTAAGACCGAACCCGAGTCGCGAATATCGTACCGTTGTCGGAAAATCTTGCGTTTGGATACGTCGGGCCGGAAAACGCCGTCGTCGACGCCGTTTAGGATGACGTGGACGCGTTCTTCGGGGATCATGTAGATCCTCTTGAGGACGTCACCGCAGTGATCGCTCGTGGCCACGTGGTGGGCGTAGCGTTGGAAGAACTTGACCTCGTCCACGACTCGCTTGGCTCGCTCCGTCAGAGCCGCAGACGGCGGCGGACGAGGCTCGTCGCCGGCGGCGGCAGAGTCGCGGAGGAGCTCCTGGATGATGTCGGAGTGGAAGGTCTCGTAGGCGATCCCGTGCCAAGACGCGGCCACGTTCCGGAGGTTCTTGGCCCTCGTGTGGAGAAGCCCCACGCTCTCTGTGTGGACCACGTCAAATGGTTTCCCGGTCGCGTTCTGCGTCTGCGGTTTTGAAGGAATCGCGTCATAGGAAAATTAAATTATTTGACCTTAAAAACATTTCTTATAATATTTCTGGATCTTGACTGAAATTGGACGTACTGAAATAGTTGTCCACAGTTGACTTCTCTGTGCAAAAATTGTTTGTAAATTACTCTAAGGCCCCCGTTATTTCAATATTATTTCCGATTTATATGCTCTACACAAACAAAATCAATTGGTACAGTTCCCGTAGTATAATCGCAAACGCTGGTGAGCTGCGTCCGATCAAACAGTAACGAGATAACCGCAAACGCTGAGCGCTAAAACAGAACTCGAGGTACCTGAAGCTGTTCCCAGACAGAAGTTTGGTCGAGATATCCAGCGGAGGTGGGCTTGGAGAGGTGAAAACGAAGAGTCTTCAGATGATGAAAGCTCGAAAACGCGGATTCCTCAGTCGCAGACGCAGGAGCAGCGGTGAAAACGTGCACCTCGTGGCCGCGTTTGGCAAGAGCCAGGTGGAGCGTGAGGGCGTGCCTCTCGAGCCCACCGGCACGCGATCTCTGAGGCCATTTCTTCACGACGACGGCGATCTTCAGAACCTTGCCCGGAGGATTCGCCGGAGAAAACGAGAGGTGGTTCCATGCGGAAGAGAAGTGAAGGAGATCGATGGTGCTGTGGCGGAACGTGTCGGCGATCTGATGACAGTCGTAAGGACAGGAACAGAAGAGGGTGTTGTGTCTGTAGAGGAAGGAGACGAAGGAGAGGAGAGAGACGAGGAGAGTAAGGTGGCAGAGAGATCTGAAACTGAGCATGGAGAAGAAGCTGGAATTTTTGTCTCTGGCCATGGAAGTGATGAATCTGAATCTGTGAATCTGAAAATTCGAGCAAGAGTTCATGGAATCGTGTTCTTTAAGGTATTTGCACGTTCTCGAGGATTAAACAAAACATGGGTTTCAGCACAAACAGTTGTTATTAAAAAAATATATTTTTACATATTTTAGACTGAAATTGTTATAAAAATCTCTAACCTGATCACAAAAATATATTTTAATTTGCGAGGACATAGAACAGATTAAATCCAATATATATTGGTATCTTCCAATTGATTTATAATTATTCATTTTCTTCTCAACTATTACATATGTATGTACATGCTATGCATGCATGCATGTATGTATGTATCGTCACAGATTTTTCTTCTAGATGGAAGGACAACAGCGGCCGAACAGCTAGGGAGTAGAGGACCAAATCGAATTAGTAGATGATTTACTCACACGCTACAAAAAAGAAAGGAGATTAATGGGGCTATTAGTGGGTTTGGGGCTACACATCCATTTATTCACTTTTAGTTTTACCTAATTAAACGACCGTCGTTGGTGAGTTATGCGTAAATATATCCTATCCATATATATATATTTCTTCAGCAAATTCTACAAACATTAAACGCAAACATGTCACTTTATTTTCGATTTCGCCTTGGTTTGTCTTATACCGAATCAAACCGGAAACCTCTAAAAGAATCAGAATATCTCAAACATGTACTTGTGTTGCTTGGCATATTATATATATCTTGCAAACATCATTAGTCCGCGCAAATCACAGACTAATTGAGGTCATGTAGCCGATTTCAGACCAATGGTTTCCCAGCAATCACATTAGTTATATAATGGGAAGATTTTGGACAAAAAGCTTTCGTGTTTTCAGCTAATGATACCATAAATCGAGGAGGCCCCATCTTACGCCTCCAATATTTCCCTATTCACATATTTTCATATTTGCTTATCTGTCAAATGAGATCAACTTACTGTGTCAATCTCAATATATATATATATATATGTATACGTATTATTAAAAGGGAACAGATGGACAAAGGAGGGAGATTTCATGGTTTGTGCAAAAATATTAAATTAGAGTGAAAAATAATTCACAGAGTGAATTCGAGGGGAGGATTCAGGCATGGAGCCAATGTCTATAAATAATTATTGCAACAGATTTGTGTGTTTTTATGTCGTAAGATCAAAGAGTCGGTGCCCGACAGTTCAACGGATACAACAAAACACATGTAAAAGAAAAGGACAAATAAGATTTTATCTGAATTTATTTTCCTCGATTTACTTGTTCATCAACCATTTTCAATGTATATATGTATACATAAAGTAAAAATACACATAATTTTTTATTTGGAGTTGGTGGTGCGGTGTTATATTTGACAGAAATTTAAAGTTGACAAATAGATTTGATTTTTTGTAATGAAATCTTTGGAGATATGTCACCTAAAGATTGGTGGGAAATAGAGTTATGACTTTCAAATGAAACTTTATGTACATATTTTTTTTCATAACCCTATATCCTACCAATTCTATTTTTTTTTTGGCACGCCTATATCATAGTCTTTTTGAATGAAATTTGAAAATAAATCTATAGCTTTTTTTTTTAATTATATTATCTCTATAATTTGATTTATAAACAGATTTTGTGTCCTTTCTGCGGGGGATAAAAGTGGGAGGAAATGAAAGGAAATCTAGTTATAGATATGAGTTGACTGCAGAGTAAGTAAATTGCAGAAGGAAATACAACTGTTTTGTCAAATTATAAAAAGAGAGACCCATCTTCCCAAATCTTGCAACAATTGGCAGGTGATTTCCTTTGTATTACACTCTCTTAGTTGTCCACTTGTACGGATCCTCCCTCCTCCTATTTCTACCCTCTCTCCTACCTCTATCTCCAATCTCCCCCTTGTCCTCTGTTTCAACTCTCTCTCTCTCTCTCTCTCTCTCTCTCTCTCTCTCTCTCTCTCTCTCCCCCCTATCTAACGCTCTGCCCTTGTCCTTTGTTTCAACTCTAGCTCATCTTTCTCTCTCTCTCTCGTTGTCTCTGTTTCTCTGTGTTTACATCTCCCTTTCTGTCAGACTCTCTCTCTCTCTCTCTCTCGAAGCTTTGCTCTGTCACTCCGTGTGTGTCTTGTTTCAAAGTCTGGCTTGCTCTGTTTCTTTGTTTCTCTCTCCTCTCTCTCCCTCTACATCGATACCCTGATTCCATACCATAAAAAGATTGTGCCGACAGAGACTGAACAATAAAGATTCAAGCCCACCGAGAAGCCCGAGATTCCTCTCTTGTCTTGCACCGACAAATGGAGGCCATTGAACTGCACGACACAGATTCCCTCCCTCTCTCCTTTGGTTCCTCCGCCATCGGCCATGTCGATCTCGGATCCGAACCCGGCTCCCCATCCGGATTCTACCCGACGAAGCAGAACCCAGTTGCCCAACAGACCGAGGGAGACGACGACGAGTACATCGCCGAGTTGACTCGCCGGATGGCCAACGACATGCTTCAAGACGACGACAAGCACGAAAAGGTTTCAACTTTGGATTCGCACCGAGCGAAACTCCACAAATTCCGATTCTTTTGAACATGGGTTCGATTTCGGCCCACGGAATTTTTTTTCTTCTAATTTTCTTTTGAAACGGTTTGGACAGTCGTGGGGAGGCTCTGGTTCGCCGCAATCGACGCTATGGTCGCCGTTTGGGTATGGTTCCGTCAGTCCAATCGGTCCGTCGCGGGAGCCATCGCCGCCACTGACGCTGGCGACGGAGAAGTTCGAGAAGATGAAGACAAATGCCGAGATGAATCCACTTCTGATCCCTTTCCCATCAAAAGAAGCCCTCATCGATATCCAAATCAGATCGGCTCAAGCGAACGTGAGAGAACTCGTACATACTCTCTCGATCTCGACGGGCAACGCTTTCTCAATTTCCTTGTTTCATGATTGTGCAGTTCCGCAAGACGAAAGAGGAGAGAGAGCAGAAGGAGAAGCGAGAACAAAAGAACCGAAACGACGGCGTTTACGGTAACAGAGCAAGGGCAACGCCGAAACATTACAGGGGCAAGAGCAGCGGGCACGGCGGGAACTACCACCGGAACGGGTCCGGTGTGAAGGCGGTCTTCCCCGACGGGTCTGGCCCGCGACCCGGATCGTGCGGAACCGGCGTGTTCTTGCCACGTGGCACCGGCACGGGCACCAGTACTGGCACTGTTCTGGAGTCTCGCAAGAAGACAGGTCAGCGCCTCCACGACCATCTCTCATCATATATCCCAATTTTTTTATGAAATTTTTGATTTGGTTATTATTATATTATAATAGTCGTTCTCGTCTCGTCTTGCGAATGCTTTCTATTTTCGTGTTCCTCTCATTTATTATACATGAATTTAATTTTCTTAGCGAAAATATATACATTAAAAAATCCATTATGACGTGATATTTGTAGTTAGTTGAATACTTGGAGATTCCGACATGTACTTTTTCTGAATGTGTGAATGAATCTCGTATTCTAGAGAGTTCTTGAGTTTGAAATAAATATACACGATAGATTGAATCTGATTTGTAACCAATCCATCAAGATATTTCGGTCGAATTTTTGTTTTTTTTTAAGGAATTATTGGGTTTAGAGATTATTCTACGTGGGATGTGAGATGTGTACGAATAGATATCAGTTGCTTGTTTGGAAGAGGGGATATGGTTTGGGGGTATCTATCAACTGAACTCAATTATTTGAGGCAGAGACAGGAATCTTTCTAACATTGTTTGACCCAGCCGATTCTTAATAGTTTTAATTAGGTTCCGAATTCAACATGAAAGATTCCTTTCCATCAACCAACTAATCTTATATTGTTTTTTTTTATATATTTATTATTCTCAATATATATGTCGTGTGTTTGACAAATACCATGGATGCTTAGAATCTTTCTCAATCCTCTTGGCCCCCCCTATTTCCTTTTTCCCTTTGGAAAGAAGAAACTGATTAATTAGGTGAGAAAAAAAATACAAATTAGATATATATATATATATATACACACACGTATATGACCCACCTGATCATCATTCCCCATCAATGAATTGCAGTTTAAGATAACGTCGATGTTCTGTCGTCATTTATGCATCACTCGTACTCCTGTCTAAGAGATAAAGCAGCATATGTGCATCTTCTATCTTTGTTTTTGTGGCTTATATATATAATATGATCTTATTCACGGGGATATCTTTTTTGTTTTACAATTTATAAATCTTTAGATAGTAGAGGGCTACACATCTTTCTCATCTGGATGTATATATAATATATATATATATATATACACATACAATAAAAGCCGAGTAGTACCATACCATGGGCCAAAAAGGATCACATGTAGCTAGTGATGTTTGTGTTTATTGTCGGGTAGGGCTGACGTCATAAATCCGCCGACAACCCTTGGTGCTCCGAGGAGGTGTTAATTTGCTCATGAGAAATATATATATATATATATATATATATTCCACGTTACTCTTTTATATATATATATATATATATATATATATATAATTTTTCAACCAAATACAAGCCATCCTTTGGGTTCGATTGTTATATATATATATATATATATGATTTGATGGAATGGGACTTAATTCTTGTATTGATTAATGAGGATGTAATGAAAGAGGGTGTGGGAATTTCAGGATGCCCGACAGTGATAATACCCGCGAGAGTGGTTGAAGCCGTGAAGTCTCACTTTGACAAATTGGCTCTGCCCTCCGATTTCCCTCCACATCATGGTATATATACTCCTCACCTATCTCCTCATTTACTTTCATCTTTACTTGATATATTATCATAATAATAATAATAATAATAATATTATTATTATTATTATAATAGTACACCACTATACATATCAAGTATATATACCTATATATATGGCTCGATTATCATTTAAATTCGGATCCACCCCATTTTATTCCTACACTTGCTTTCCGGTCAATTATGTTGTTTTATTAGTCGGATATTTTTCCTAATATCTCATTAATTTGGGGAATTTGATTTTTGGATAGGTAATCAAACAGATGCTTTCTTGATGGCTATGGACAACAACAACAAAAACGTATTGCCCCGGCCGAAAAAGTCGTACGCGGAGGTGGTGTCCGCCCGTAGCCGCCGTGGAACACCGTTGGATCTGCCACCGGAATGGACCTATTGATCCATTTATTAGACAAAAACAGCTAGCGGCACATGCTCTAGGTTCAACAGGTATGGTCGGACAACTTCCATATAATTATTATGGGGACCAAAATTAGAATAATAAAAATAAAAATAAAAATAATAATAATAATAATTTTTCAGTTAAAGAAATAATAGATGGAAGGGCGGTGGAAGAAGAATAAATGGGGTTATGATATCTGTAATTTTACTATGACTTGTTCATTTTTGCTGCCTCAAGCAAAATCAATAATATTCTTGGTCATGAACAATAAATGCATATGTCTATGTTATTGCAAGGTGTTGTGGCTTGTTTTGGAATTTTTTATGTCAATTAATTCATATATTATTATTGACGTAATAAAGTTCAATTGATTTGATCATAGTTATACGAATATTCTTTGTTACATCTATAAAAGAAAATATCGCGAATAGGATTTTCCCGTAAAATAGAAAAATTATTTTTCCTTTTCCGAGTTATGGAAAACATATTAAATATTAGTTTATTTCTTCATCATTAATCCACTTCTATCCAATTATAAATTGACAAATTGCATATTGTTACAAAAAACATATAAAAAATAGAGGTTCAAACCGTTATCCTCTTATTCATAGTTTTAAATATTTAAAAATACATATAATCGAATCATTGATCCAAAATTATAGTGTAGGTATATAGAATTATGTGAATATTATCGTATACATTCAAAAACAATCTATGACTGAAATTTAATAAATATATTTAAAAATGAAACAAACGAATAAATATAATTCTTGAAATAACCGTAGATTTCGTCCGAACCAAATCCCTAATTATATACGTGACGATATGAGTAGATGAGAGTGGTCTCCTGTGTCCTGTCCACGTATATATTGCTCGCCCCGTCAAAATCTTTGCACTTTTCTTTATTTTCCTATTTTTTTTTTTAAAAAAAATGTGATTCCATGTGCTCTTGCATGTTACTCTTCACGTGATTTCTTTTTTTTTTAATTAAATGAAAAAATTTAATTAGAAAAAATGGAATGACAAAAACGAAACAAGTACAGTTTTTGAAAATAAACAAAAAACAATAGAAATATGGAAATATTATGAACCATATTTTCTTTCTATTTTTTTGTCGGAAAGGGTAAAAATATTATGTAACATGCATGCATTGTTGCATGAGAAATAAGACGAATACGAGCTTTCGAGCAATCCACGGAAAACACGTTTATTTTCTTCTTTTTGCCATCCAAACACACCCCCATGCATTTAAATTGTTTTATTGCTTTTTTCTTCTTCCCTTTTGTTTGGGATACAAAACACAGTTCTCTCTCTCTCTCTCTCTCTCTCGTTTTCTTCACGACGACGTATATGATGACGTGGTCCTTATTACACTCTCCCCCACTTCACAAAATCATTTAGCCCTCTCGAAATTTTCGGAAGTATGCGCAATCTAAATTTAAAAATAAATTAAAATTTCTTTTTAAAATTTTATAAATTTTAATTGTATTAAATATAATATAAATATTTATCTTTTAAAATAAGAGTAAATGAAAAAAAATCGATGCATCGATTGATGATTTAAATAACGTGATTATTCAATATTTATTCGAAATAAAAATATCAATTAGATTTTAGAGTAAAAGATGACATTTCTACAGAAAGTTAAGTTAAATATGTGTATACAAAGATAGATATGAATCTATGGTCATGGATATAAAAACGTTGGTCCAAGACGGCTAGCCCATTTCTAGTAATATTGAGCCCAAAGCAAACAAACCCATAACTATAAATTTTGGGCCCATTTCATAATATGTTTCATTCAGTTTGGGCCGTGGCCCGATTATTTCCTCTTTAAACATCTACAAAATTAATTACTCGGCACGTATTTTTCATGCAAACAAATACACACACTTTATACATATTTTACAGAAATTAACTGAATAATTTAAATAAAAAAGATATAATATTTATTTTTGTTAAAAAAAATGAGATAGAGAGAGAGAGAGAGAGAGAGAGAGAGAGAGTCATTGGCAAAGGATAAATCCTGATTCATCGCAACTTCTCCCTCCAACCATCACCTCTTCATATAAAGTGAATGATTCGTCTTCTAATTTTGATTATTTCGTTTATTATTATTTGGCTTATTAAAGTTTTCTCTCAATTTCGATGAAATATATTCGATTCAAAACATAGGAATGTATAGACTCTACGTATTTATAACAATTGCTAAAAACCCTGATTCGAAAATTTATTATATCCATCTTCAATAACACAGAATCGCATCATCAACAACGCGACTGAACATACGTAACGTTGGTAGAACCAGTGTCCCTAAAAGCCCTACTCCCGAAAAACAGGAACCCTAACCCGAAACCGGCCATGGCGGCCAAGAAAACGCCTCCATTGAAGGACATCACCGCCAACATTACGAGGTACGACAGGCCCGTACGGACGGTGTAGACGGCGGTCTGAGCCAACCCTCCGGCGAGGCTGGAGGCGCCGGGGCGGAGAAGACGGCACCGGCAGAGCCACTCGGATGCGGCGGCGACGAGGAAGACGGAGACGAGGCGGAGCCAGTACATGCCGAGGTTGTCGTGTCCGGGCCAACCGTCGAACAGAACCTCCGTGTTCTTTCCCCAGAAGAACGTCATGTGCATCATCATGTGCCGCCGCCGCCGTGGGAACATCGCCGCCGGAGACGGAGATTGCGCCGTTTGTCCCATGCCGTTCATGGTTATATTTGATCGATGGGATTTAGCTTGAGTTGGGATGATATATATATATGTTGTCATGTGTGTGCGAGTGACATGTGTTTCTACGAAAGGTTTTTTAGGGTTTCGTTTGGTGTGCAGTACCATTTCAACTGTATATGCGACAAATATGTTAAGATTTTTTTGTACTACTATTATACTACATTTTGAATTTAATTTTTAGGAAAATGAATTAATTGAAGAAGATATTAAAGCTATGAATGGATTTTTTTTAGAGTTTTTGGATTTCAAAAACCAAAAAAATAATCAATCAAGTTTTTATAAATTTGATTTTCCTAAAAACTTAGAAAATTATTTTGATGAAAAACAATTAAAAACTAAAAAACACCCTTTATTTACAAATCCAAAAAAAAAAAAGTAAACTCTTGTCATCCCTTTTAAAAATATTTGAAATAATTTTGTATTTTTTCTTTATTTTTCAAACTTTTTGGGACAAACACGAAAAAAATCTCAAACTTTACACCTTGCTAAAATTATATCTCACACTTTAAATTACTTAATTTAAAGTCACACAAAATCCGAACTCAATCTCAATACAACATTCTCAAACCTCGGTTTCCCAATTTCATTTTTGTAAAAACAAATAACTATATCTTATATAAAAAAAACACGGGTTTTGTTTCGATTTAAGTTTTCAAACCAACATGGATTATAACCCAAAAAAACTCATACCAATGCTGTTTTGTTAATGGAGAGCACACAAAAGGATGCTTTTGATATTTGAGAATCGGAATCTCAACGATATTCAATTTTTTCAACTTGAAATTGCAAAATAGGACAGCAGTAAATTGCGATTTTTTTTCTTTCTAAAATTGAAAAAATGTACTACACATACACATTTTGACAAGTCAGAATGGCTCTATTGTACGATCACAATCGAAATGAATTTCCAGCTATACTCACTCACGACAATAAATACCTAGGATTCGGAGCCCTTCTTACCTCTCAAAAAAAAAAAAAAAAA